ATTTCAGGGTCAATCACATGGTAGCACACCTTCAACAACAATTTCATTGGCCCGGCTTGGTCCCTGACGTCACCAAGTATTGCGAAACTGCGAAGTTTGCCATTAGGATAAACCTCGCAATCGCAATGCTTCTGACGTGTTGCAACCATTGCCCATTCCCCAGGAACCCACCGTCTCAATCGTTATGGACGTCACCGGCCCATTCCCACGCGACCGCCTTGGTCACGACAACATTCTTCGGTGGTTGAGCGATTGAGCAATATGCTCAATTCCTCCCATGCAAGTTCCATGCGACGACCCACGTGCTCCCACAGATCTTACACGTTGGCTGGATTTGCGGCCATGGAGTTCCAAAGGACATCATTCCATGACATTCGGTTCATGTCAGCCTTTCAAACTTCTCTCATGGAGTCTGAAACCGAAATGAGACCGAGTTCGGCTCGGCACCCTCAAATGGATGGGAAAACGGAGCGGGCAAAACAAACCACCCAAATGATGCTCCATACGCTCATCTGGCCGGATCAGAAAAATCGGGTTGGCTGCCTCCCCAACATAAAGTTTGACTACAACACTTTATTGCATCTAGTGGTCGGCCTAACTCTATTTAAGCTTCATCACGGTGGTCGAAAAGAGTGCATCTTCTCAGATCTTCTCCCCCCTCGGGCAGCCAACATTGATGCCCCTTGCACACCTGCTTCCATTCAGAAGATGTGGGAGTTCCTGGCCGACGCCCGCCAAAAGGCTCAGGGCTGCATGCCGCAGCAAGCTAATCGGCGTTGCTTGCCTTGTCCCATCTGCGAGGGCGGCCTTGTTTGGGTCTCCTCCGAGGACTTCGCATTTGAGAGAGACGCTTCTCCCAAACACCTCCCTAAGTGTTTTGGACCTTGGCGAGTTCAGCCATGCCGGTGATCAGCCCCACGGCCCGTCATTTGAGACTGACACTCCTTTCCATCCCACATCTTCTGAATGGAAGGGGGGGTGTTCAGCCAAGCCGCGCCAAACCGGTGGTCAGCCCCACGGCCTGTCGTTTGCAATTGACTCCCTTCCCCATCCCACATCATCTGAATGGAAGGGGGTGTGCAAGGGGTGTCAATGTCGGCTACCCGAGGGAGGAGAAGATCTGCAAAGATGCGCCCTTTCCATCCGCTGTGGTGAACTCGAATGGAGTTAGGCTGATTGCTAGATGCAAGTGTTGTAGGAGTTTCTGGCAAAAGCCCGCCAAAAGGCTCAGGTGCCATGCGACAGCAAGCCAATCGGCGCCGGGTGCCTTGTCCCATCTGTGAGGGTGACCTGGTTTGGGTCTCCTCTGAGGAGTTCACATTTGAGAGAGACGTTTCTCGCAAACTCCTCCCTAAGTGGTTGGACCTTGGCACATTCAGCCACAGCCAGGGATGAGCCCCACGGCCCATCATTTGTGATTGACATCCCTCCCCATCATCCAGCCAACCCAGTCTTCCACGCCTTAAAGCTGACTACCTCCGTTCCAGCCAAAGAGCGACAACTTCCCCGGCAGATGTTCAAGGACCCTCCTCGAATGGTCATCAGGAGGTTGACCACGTCATCACTCATCGCCATTAAGGTAACAAACCAACGCAGTATAAGGTCACTTTCAAGCAACGCAACGACGCCCATACGTGCTGAGTATCTCGAGCAGACTTGCAGGCTTCAACCCCATTCATCTCCACCGACTACAAGTGACAATGACTGGCTACCCGGACTTCGCAGCAGCAGACTGCACGTCCCACCCGGACTTCAGTTCCTCCCTCTGATAGGCTGAGTCTTTCAAGGAGGGGGGGGGGGGGGGKGTGGCATGCACGGCTCCCACAGGGTGATGAAACCACACATGCAGGGGTGTCGCATGCACGGCTCCCACATGGTGATGAAACCGCACATGTGCACGAGTCTTGCACATGGACGGGTAGGTCCCTCCATTGGACCTACTCCTCCATGTGCAAGACTCATGCACTGACGCCGTGACAGCTTCGCCCTGGCCTGTGGGCTCAGTCTTTCAAGGAGGGGGGGTGTGGCATGGACGGCTCCCACACGGGGCCCCGTTACCAGGTTTAGGATCCGAGTTGGGGTGTTGTTCCCTTTAGGTCTGCCTGCATTTTTTTTTTGTTCCTGTAGTGGCCGTCTGGTTCGATGTATCTGTCCGCATTCCGGGAGCCGATTCAGGCCCAGTGGACGTTCCTTCAGGCCTCCTCTCTTTGTTGCCTCTCTTTATTGTGGCCCCAGTTGCATGGCCCACATTTCAGTTTGGGCACCAGTTTGTACGTTAGTCTGTCCTGTAGCGAGGAGTTTCTTTGGGGCCTGCATTCTCAACCGTCAATCGGCACTACGTTAGAACGGCCCAGGATACAGACTGTGGCAGCACCCAGTAGGGCCAGCTTCATTTTGGGATACGCAGCATTCGAGATAAGGACAGTATGCTGCTGGAGCAGTGCTGCATCCGTAGAGGACTAAGATAGACTAGAGAGCTAGGAGGCCGGAGATGTGGAACTCACCTACTGCAACTTAACTGGCATCATAGCTTCAGCACGTCTTCGGGGCACTCCCACCTGCATCACAGCTCAAGGTGACACCTTTACGCTGATCAGTATCCGGCTCCGCTTCACACATTCTTGTCAAGGGTTTGGACCAGAAGTCTGCTAGGATTGAAAGGTTGGTGTGTGTGAGTGAAGTCGACCACTTTCCTCAGGGACTAACTCTGGGCGATGTGGTGAGTCTTATCCATCAGTCAAATGAATCCTGGGTAGACTGTCGGGGTTCAACCTCCTGATGAGTCGGGGAAAGTCCGACGAAACAGTCTGGCACAGTCATGCTTTTTTTTGAGTGTATAGCGAATATGTCAACACACACACACACACACACACACACACACACACACACACACACACACACACACAGAGAGCGAGAGAGAGAGAGAGCGAGAGAGAGAGAGAGAGAGAGAGAGAGAGAGAGAGAGAGAGAGAGAGAGAGAGAGAGAGAGAGAGAGAGAGAGAGGATTCCTGTCTTCTTCTACTTCTCTCTTGACCCCTCCCTCCATCTTCACATCGTCGTCTTCTTCCTCTTTCTCTCCGATGCTTCTTCTTCTTCTTCTTCTTCTTATATGAGAGAGAGAGGTCTATAGGAGCTGAGACTTCGTAACATTGGGCGATTGCCCAGATTTGGACATTGTATTAGGGGCAGAGACATTGGGGACTAGTTTTGGAGACCATTCATTCGCAGCGCTATTCGAGTTGACGTCTCCATCTCCTCCCCAGCTGGTCTCTTTTCGACCTCCTTCGCCCGCGTATGCATTGTCAACAAGGCAGGTTTCTCCCATGTTTGAGCTGCCATGTGTGTCTGAGATAGATAGATGTATTCAGTCAGTTCGAGTCAGATCTGCGTATGTCTGCTTGCTCTTTCTCCTTCGGTCGGTTCTTGGGTTCTAGGCCATGCCTGACTGATGTTCTCAGGCATGCAACATCTAATGATAAGCAAACTCCCGCACACAGTCGACCACTTTTAGCAGGTTGTGGTCACACACTAGCAGTTAAACAACGATTTTTCAACTTATGAAAACTCAACATTGGTCAGCGCTGAGTTTGGAAGAAAGATACATCATTAGCCAAGTCATTGAAAACAGTCTAGATGGTCAATTTAGCGTGATAGTCAAAGCTTTTAGCTCTGTTTGATGAGCCCTCGTAGTATTAGGTATTTGGTTAGGTAAAGGCTGACCAAGCCGATGATGCTTAGCTGGTCTTTTCGGATGATCAGCCACACTGGGACTGAGACACGGCCCAGACTCCAACGGGTTCAACTTATGAAAACTCAACATTGGTCAGCGCTGAGTTTGGAAGAAAGATACATCATTAGCCAAGTCATTTAAATGATTGTGGATGCTGTCTATGAATTGCCCTCTTCTACTGGGCCTCATTCCTTTCATCTTTGTCACCTCGCTCCACTGCTCACCACATGCACAAGAAAAATATGGCGGTGTATCTTTCCGTGTTCTCGTGGAAGATTCCTAAACATTTTGGACACAATTGTGCAAAGTGGAACGAGACCCTGTGTCGGCCCCTGCTGGCTGTAGGCAAGAAAGGAAAAAAAAGAAAAGGGTAAGTTTCAAAAATAGCGCGTCCGCGGTAATTTCACAGCAGTAGTGGTGGGGTCCAAGTTTCCTTGCAAAAATACATCTTTCGTTGCAGCTTTACAGGTCCCGGTAGTTTCACAGCAAAATTATTTGCAGGTGCAGTCCCACTTTCATTGCAAAAATACATCTTTCGGACCCCGACAGTGCTATGTCGCATTGGTTTACTCACACGGGTGGTCCCAATGGGGGCAATTGTGGTTTAACCCCTAGCCTCGGGGGTAGAGGACCAGTTATTGATATGTAGATTCGTTAAAATAGGGTCTCGGGCAGTGGTGGTTTAACCCTAGCATTATTTGCCGCCCCCAACTGCACTTATTGCTTTGCGCCACCAGCCCTTTCACAACAAACCCCCTCAATTGTTGCGAGTTCTACACTTCGGTCACTGTTTCTGCCGCCAAAATTCATGAAAGCCATGTCCGCTCCCATTACTACTCGCATAATGACATCTCCCCATCCTTCAATGTCCTCAGTCATCTTCACTGTCATCAACATAATGTATGCCATCATCAGCAGCAGCAGCAGCAGCAGCATTCATCATCATTCATCATTCAGTATGAAATTTTATGAATGCATCATATCACACCATTCTTTTGATTATCATTCACCATTGAATCAACACCTTTATACAGACCATCCATAAGGTTCTCATCATTTCTTCATTGTCATGATCATCATCTTCATTCTCATCCTTCTCATGATGACCATTCATCTTGAGTTCGTCAATTTAAGTGTCTCCAACCACGCGGTTGGATAAATAAAATAAGGTGTGTCCATCTCGCTGCGGACTATTGCAGCGTCTCCTTCACTATCGTGCCTGAGTAAAAAGCAATGAGACCTAAAGCATCAACCAAAACCGTGGACACACCTGATCCAGCCATGCTGATGGAGCTCAAAGATCTCATCGACAAGATTCAGCAGAGGAACGCTCAACTTGGACACATTCCACTGCATCATAACATCCCAACAGGAAACTTCAGTCTCGTCCTCACCAAAAGCTGGGGAAAAAGATAAAGCTTGGAAACATCTCATTTTTCCAAAGTCCGAGCAATGGATTTAAGCCATACTTGCGGCGCATCGACGTGGGCCGCACGACGCACGCGCACGGGGTGCGGCGCACCCCGAAAATAAGGGGTCGAGAAAAAAAAAAAAGTTGGGGAGGGTTGTTTTAGACCTGAGTGGGATGTCGCATCATAAACCACAAAAAAATATTGACAAAAATTTGAGGCCGCGTGGGGCCTCCAGAAAAAAACATAGGGGGGAAGTTCGTTCTTTTGTTTGTGTGTGTGTGTGTGTGTGAGAGAGAGAGAGAGGGAGAGCGAGAGCGAGAGAGAGAGAGAGAGAGAGAGAGAGAGAGAGAGAGAGAGAGAGAGAGAGAGAGAGAGAGAGA